AGGGCCGCTGCCGCTTCGGCGAGAGGTGCTGGAACGAGCATCCCCGCGGCGGCGGCGGCGGGCGCTATGGGGCCTCCGCGTCCCACTACCAAGGTACTACCGGGCGCAGCGGCGCGGAGGGCGAGCGGGGGGAGGAGGCGCGGGGCCTGCGCGGCGGCTTGTAGGCCGGGGGGCTGGCGGTGCAGCGGCGGGACCTCCGGTGCCCGTCCCCCGCGGCCACCAGGGCGTCTTAACTTGAGAGCCCCTAATGCAATGCACTGTGAGTTAAGCTTTAACTTGATTTTGGTTTGTTTTTTTTTTTTTCTGCTGGGGTAGTTGCTTTATGAAACCACGTAGATAAAACTGAAACAGCCTCTTTTCTGCGCTGCCAACAGGTTGTCGTTGGCATGGTGACGTGAGGAGGGGTTCACCTGTGTCTCTGATTCCGGAACTCACTCAATAATTGGATTAACTCATTATGAGAAAACTACCTTTTCTTTTCCAACTTCTGATTTCCAACACAAGAATAGTTATAGTTTTTATTGATGCGGTATTGTTTAGTATCTTAATAATTTAAAATTTCTGTTGTTTGCTGTCTTTTATTGGAAGGCAGTAGCAGAGGAGGAGGCAGTGGCGGCAGCGCATGGGGTTCCACTAACCAGAGATACACCAATGTTATCCAGCCATCTACCTTTAAGTCTAATACATGGGGTGGCAGCAGAGATCAAGGAAGAGGACTTTTTGGCTCCTCTGATTTTGGATCATCAGGCGGCGGCAGCAGGAATGCAGACTTTACGCAGAACAGATTCTCTGCGTTAATGAACAATCAAAATACTGCTGATGGCTATAAAGATGAAGAGGAGAGACTTCTGTAAGTTATAGTCCTGTCTCACTAAAAGCATTTAGAATGAGCAGTTTAAAAGTTCATTGCTTTCCTATAGGTAATGCATAGGACATGGTTGTGAGAAGAAAGCTGGGACATGTAACCAGAACCATAGAAAACACTACTTCATTTGGTTCTCTTGAGTTATGCTGGCATGGGAAGAAAGCGATCCTTGTTTTGAACAGCTAGACAACTATGATATTAGTTAGTTGATATGGTATTTAAGTTGTGGGCAGGAGGATAAGGAAGGAAACAAAGATTTCAGTACTTGAAAATAAGAGGTCAGAGCCCCTTCGACAGTATTTCAACCCTTTAAAAAACTCTTTAAGAAGGTGAACTATTTGACTCAGTTTTCCTGACACTTAACAAATGCTCTGCCAGTAGCAAAATCATTGAAAGCTGGTTTCACACGTGTTTATGTTAGAGTCAATGGAGAGCAACCAGCAGGATGAAGGCAGTTACAGGGCAGGTGATGAAAAGTAACAGGCAGTGCCATTTCCTGAAGCAGCAACGTTTTGAAACAACTTTCCATTTTATTTTTTTTAAGGTTATATGAAGAAAATGCTTAACAGATTATTTATTCAGCTTCTCAAACATGAATGTATATTGTGCAACAAATACCTGAAACAGTTAGAATCTTTGTTTTATTTGTTACTATGTAGTGATTTGCTTGTCTACTTCAGTGCTTACCCTTTCACTGTTTGTTTACAAACAGTGAAATTTGTTTACATTTGGATTTACTTTAGATGATGTAGCTTCTATTTCTCTGCTTTTGCAATGTCTGGATTTTTATGCTTTTGATTCTTTTCCAAAAAATAATATTGAACACTTCTCTATCTCTTTTTTTTTTCCCTCTTTTTTTTTTTTTCCCCTAAATGTTGCTATTTAATACTGTGTATGTTCATTTATATTGTAAAATCATCTAGTATTAAGAAGATTTTAAGTTGGGTTGTGATCGACAGCTTCAGGGAAAATCCTGTGACAGCATATGCCATATGAGGATTAAAAAATACTTTGTGTGGCTTTGGAATTTTATTTTTTTTTTTTAAATCTGGTTTGATTTACTTGCAGTTAGATGGTAGAGTAGAATGCTTTGAAGGGACACTTATGTGTCTTGCTGAATAAGTGCATTTCTTTCCACAGAGAACTGAGTGCTTTTCTTGTTGACACTGACTTGTGTCAGACTTCATTCATTTTCATGGTAGCAGGTATTTGAACCTGACTTTGGATTCAAACTAAGCGATTGCTTCTGGTGGTTTTATTTTTACCATATGATTTCACTTTCACCTGTGGTTTTATTTTGTTTGGTTTTCTAGCGAATGTGTAGTGAAAGACATGGAAATTTGGGAAACTTCAGGACAATGGATATTTTCATCTTATTCCCCGATGAAAGAAAAGCCGAATGTCTCAGGTGGGTAATGTTCTAGTGTTGCTGCATATTGCTGCTATTTGGGATGTTTCTTACACTTGTCCACACTGTTGTACCTCTGTGGAACCATTTGCAAGGTGGTGATTCGCCTTGTGATGCAACAGAAAAGGATATTGGATTCTGGCAAATTATTTTTGGACACTCACATCTTTAAAGTTCTGTAATGAATCCTTTTTGTGTCTTGAACTGTACCATTTCTTCATAACTATAGAGGACAATTGGAAGTATTAATAGATTTACTTGGAGGTTTTTGATTATTCCTCTCCTTACAGGCTTTGCAGATTTCTCGCCAGAAGAGTTGCATCTGGAGTATTATAACTGCAGAGCAAACAACGACATTCAGAATTATGTAAGTATTTAAAAAATGCTGACTTATGTGGATGTATTTTGGGATAGGACTTGTTACCATTCTCCAGGTGGCAACTCTTGACTTGTTCAATTACCAAATTCTAGGATATTATCAGAATGTCAAAATATTTTTAAACTATGTGCACCAGATAGAATACAAAAATAGCTGCTAGTCTGTGTGCTCTACCAGAACTTCCTATTTCTGTCTGAGATCACAAGCTAAACCCATCAGATCTGAGATTCTAAAACTAGTGGCCTCAATGTCTAGACACATCAGCTCCTACAAAAAGTGGTGTCAGTAGACTTGTAGCTAGTCTCAGTTAAATGTATGGTCTTTCTAAACCTAGACACTCCTTGTCTTAGTCTTGTACCTGCTCGTGTGTTATTTGTAGAAGTTATTTAAATCCTGTTTCAAAAGTTTGATACTTGGTATGCTATTAGTTAGTCGGATTGTTATAGCTGGATACCTAGTACTTTAGGTAGAACACTGGGAAGGTTTATTTGACCTTGTTCTTTTACATATCTCCATTGCAGGGACTTAATGCTGAAAATAGCAGATACTTCTAAAGGAATACATACATTTATAGAAAGAAGTAATAAATATGTTTGTGTGTGTATATATATATCTCTCAAAATTAAATAAAATATACATGTGTTGTTTCTCTCTCATAGCTAGGAAGCTAGCACAGTTCAGTGTCATGCCAGGAAAGGAACTGGGCTATTGGAAAGACACAACTACAAAATAAATTAAGCTACGTTGTACTCTTTCCTCTTCCCATTGGTTCTGTATTGCAGAAGGAATTGCTGTTGCCATCACTCTTGCTTCACGGGTTTAGAATTATCAGAATTGTATTTTCAGAGACAGGAGAGAATTTTTTTAAGAAACTTCAATTAAAAAAATAAACAGAAAGGATTAAACAATATACTATGCCTGGCTATTAAAAAAAAAAAATTATGGCCTCACTGAAGCACTGAATGCAAGTTCATGAAAGTCTCAGTGTATAGATGATAAATGTATGATACAGTTCTCTCACAAATGTACAATGTTTAAGTACAACATGTCTCTTCCAAAGCACATGTTTCTATTCTTAAACTGGGTCAAAATCTGAATTTTCCAGTCTGTTGTATAAGAACTGATACCAAGCAACATGATCTTCCAGCATGTGACTAGACACAAATGAATTATTGATGTTTGTGATGCAAGACCCTTTTGAAAAATTAGGAAATTCATTTACAAAAAGATTACACATGCCACTCTTGCAGGCATTTGGGCCATTATACATTTTATACTTAAATATTTTGTGTGTGGTTTGTTGGATTTTGGTGAGGATTTTTCTCTAGTACCTAATTCAAATAGTGATATAACTTAGATTTAGAAAGCCCCAGGATATTTTTTTTTAATCTTACTTGAAGTAAAAAAGTTGATTTAAGGTCAATAGTAAGAGAATTGTAAGGAATTCTGTGTTAATAACAAGAATTTCAGCTTCTCACTTTGAAGTTTCATGAAAGAAAATATCTTGTCATCTTGGCTTAATGAAGATTCTTTTCTAACTCTGGAAACCTTTCTGTTTAGTTTTCAGATCACTCTATTTTCTTTATTTTTGAAGTCTTCACCAATAGTAAAACCATGCTTTTCTTTTCCCCTTTTTTAGATAAATTCTGTCCAACACTTAGCAAATCAATGGAAAAATCGTCTGCTTCAGTTGAAAACTTTAAATGCATCGACAAAAGCAGCTTTGGTGAGTGTTAATGAAAGGTAAAATGTTTTCGTTCCTGATGTCTTTTTTTTATTAATCTTGGACAAATGTTTTTCTCAGATTCATGATTTTTTTTTAGACACATCCTACCAAACTGTCCTGCAAATGCCAGCGTTAATTTCTGTTACAAAGATTTTTAAGACATGGTAATGTGCCACATTGTTTTTAACTAATAGATCTTGCAAGTATTCCACAGAAACTTCACCTGTTACCTAAGTATTTAACTACACTTCTATCAGCTTTATATAAATAGGTGATAGGTATTGCTTTGAAGATCGTGGGACAGTATATATTACAACCAATGTACATGATTCTTATTCTTTTAGGGCATCTTTATTTGCATCTAAATAGCTGAGAAATGAAAAAGTTTGATTCCTAGATTCACTGGCAATTTTATGGTGAATCTATGAACTGTTCTGAAAATCTCAAATATCATGTGTTATATTCTGGCACTGCAGCCTTGAAAAACATCTGGCATGAAAGTGGCTGACTGGTGGCACAAAGACCTTGACAGTAATCTTAGAATGCTCTTGGGAACATTAGAGAGAGTGGAAAAGGGTGTAAGGAGGAATTTCATGAGAGTAACGACTGCAGTTTGAAGACTGTCCCGTGTCTCTGTGTGTTTTTTATAGGCAATAGAAATGTTTCTGACTGAATAGCACTGCCTGAGCCAGGGGGATGTGAAAGTCTGGGAACGCAGGAACTGATAGATAGGTGGGAGAGAAACTGGAGAAAACTTGAAGATTTAAAGAATAGTTGTTCCTGGGAAGGTGACAAACACTTGTGAATCTAGATGTGTCAGAAACAAATGCTTGAGTTAAAACCATTATTAAATAATTTGGGAGAGAGAGTAAGTTGATTTAAGTGGAGTCTGCATGAAGTGCATTAAAGTTTTAGCAAAGATCACACCCCCGCTGTGTTCAGTGCTGCAGGTGGAGAAGTGGGATTTGGGCTTTAGCACAGAAGACTAGATGTGCCAAGGGGAAAGAACAGATCAAGTTACAGCAGTGACATAGATAGGGTCATAAAGCACTAACTGAAATAGGTAAGAGATGAGAACGAGCTGGAAGGTCTGTAAATTGTAATATATTTGTGTTTCTGGAGTGTTTTACAGAGAGCATTGAAGAGCCTTAAAGCTTTTTTTCATAGCTGCAAGAGCATGCAATCGTAATGAAAGTGATTGGGGTCTAAATTAGTCTCAGTTGATTTACGTTGGACTGGGCAGATATATTTTTGCTTTAAGTATTTATTGAAAGATATTTCCTTGCTTTGGAATCTAGTTTTCATTTATGTATTTTGAATTTTTTAAGCTCTCTGAATTAAAGAACGTGGTCACTCAACCGCCACCTGCCTTTGGATTTGGAGGACAGCAAACATCAAGCTTTGGGTTGTCAAGTAAGTTCCTGCATTAAGAACTAACAGTTAGATATTTTCTTGAGTTTTCTTTTGCATTATTGAAATGCAGCAGTAGTCTAGTATCACAGGTGTGCACGTTCTGATATCTTTTCATAAATTTTATAATTGCAGGCTTTCCTGTGAACAGCAGCAGTAACAGTGCCAGCAGTTTCTCCTTTAAAACAAGTTCCAGTCTCACCAGTGCATCATCTGGAAACGCCCCTGCTTTTGGGAGCCCTTCTGCGGGTTGTAATCGTCCTGCATTTGGTGTGACGTCCTCTCCCAGTGTATCCCATTCTGTTGGTTTTGGCAGCCCGGCGGCTCCCTCCGCAGCCTCCTTCTCATTTAAAACTTCAGAAACAGCTAGTGGTTTTGGAACTTCTGGGTTTTCAGGGTTTGGCAATTCTTCTGCTGTGAACTCTTCAAGCACCACTCCGCCTACAGCCTTTGGAGCTTTTAATGCACCAGTAGCAGCTTCTCCCTCCCATTCAAGCAGTACTTTATTTGGACAGACTGCCAGTGTCTCTGGGCATAACATAACGTCGGCGTCTTCTGGATCCACAAACAATACTACATCAGAAAAGCTATTTACACCAAAGAGCGAATTATCGGCTGAAGAGTTGAAACAATTTGAAGCAAAAAAGTTTACAATGGGAAAGATTCCTCTTAAGCCACCACCATTAGAACTGTTAAATGTTTAGGACTTCTAAGTCTGTTCTGAAGTAACATGGTTTTGTAACTTCTCTGATACCTCAACTACTCAATTTTCTGGTTGAGTAATGAAATAAAATTCTTCCATTGAGTTAATTTTAATTTCATCTCTAAGTCTTTTGCAATTATAAACTCATAGCTGTAAACATTCAAACATTTTATTTTATCATTTCTTGTTTATTGTTGAATGGACCTTTTACGTCCAAGACATGAACTAATGAAAATAAAATTTAAAGTTCCCTTTTATATTCTGTGCTGTGAAATTCTGGGCAAAAACTGTATCAAAAAGGCTTTGTCAAAAGTGAGAAGTGCTTCGGTGAGATGTTTGCATCCTGCTGGGAATAGAACACTAGAAAGAAACAGATGGGGCGCAGGACTGCGTGGTGTTGGGCCACCTTGTCTTCTCCCTCTTACTTAGAGGGTTCATGCAGCCTTTGACAGTTGTGTTTGGAGACAGCGGGCTCCTGTGAGCTCCGTACCCGGCTACGTGCAGCCGGGAGTCACTCACCTCTCACAGTTGGTGCAGTTCAGCTTTTGTTGTTCTGCTTGAGGTCATAAAGTATGTATTCATGGAATGCAGCTGGGGGGAGGAGAGCCTTGGCAGCATGAATAAGGAGCTTGTGGTTTGCTATTTTGACACCTCTTAGATAAAACTTTGCAAGCAATTGCAAAACTGCTTACTACATTTATGTGAATTGATAGGATTTTGTTGTCTGGCTCTCAAAAGTTGATGGGTGCATATATTGGCAGTACCTTTTCTGAATTAATGATATTAAGGTATATATTTTGCCAAGATGTTATAAAGCAGGGGTCAGAAATCTTCTAGAAGGACTAGAGTCAGGTGAAGAGAACATATGTTCTTGACCAGGACCTGCCATTAATGGTATACAATTATCAAATCTTGTATTTAAGAGGAAAGCAGAAGTTTACTCCAGGATATAGATACATAAATAGATTGTTTCCTTAACACTTGAAGATAACATTTCAGTTCTTGCAAGGGACCCCATGGTCCTACTTAAAACTTCACTACAGCTGTGTTTCCTACCAGTGGTCCATAGCATACTGGCTTGCTAAAATGATGTCACAGGATCATAGAATGGTTTGGGTTGGAAGGGACCTTGAAGTTCATCCAGTTCCAACCCCCTGCCATAGGTCCCACTAGACCAGGTTGCTCTAAGCCCTTTCCAGCCTGGCCTTGAACACCTCCAGGGATGGGGCATCCACAGCTTCTCTGGGCAACCTGTTCCAGTGTCTCACCACCCTCATAGTGAAGAATTTCTTCTCATATCTAATCTAAGTCTCCCCTCTGACAGTTTGAAGCTGTTACCCCTCATCCTATCACTATATGCCCTTGAAAAAGTCCCTCTCCAGCTTTCTTGTAGCCCCCCCTTTATGTACCGGAAGGTGGGTATAAGGTCTCCCTGGAGCCTTCTCTTCTCCAGGTGGAATGTGAATGAATTTGGCATTTAGGAACTGGGGAGGGACTCTGCAGGCTTCATAGAAATCCCGGTTCCTCAGTCTGTGGCTCAGTGTAGACGTACCAGAGACTCGCATGCGTTACGTTATGGTACTGGGTTGCTTATATGGATTTTTCTGGTGATTGTTTTGTAGATGAAATAAGTCATCTGTTTTTTGTTATTGTTGTTAATGTCCCAATGCAGGCTTCCTGTAACTCACAAACAAAATCCTGATACGTTGGCCCAGGGTTCCATTTGATTCTTATGAAACGTGTTTTTCCCAGGGGGGGTCTGCGGTGTGTACAAACTGAGCTGTGTGGGTCTGTCAGGGGTCACTCTGCTCTGCAGCGGTTGTGCTGGTCACTCGGGTTTTGACATGGGAACTGAGGAACCCAAATCCATTACACCACCAGAGTTCAGAAATCCCCCCTCTTTACAGAAGTCGTTAAACTCACTTTTGTAAAGTTAGTGTTTAACAACAAGCAAACAAAAAGATGTTTGTGGTCGATGGGATGAATGCCAGAGCTGCCGGAACTCATTCTACTACACACTATGCCCTCTCCGGTATTTCATTTCTGAAGCCTTAGTGGTTCTCAAACCCCACTGCATCAGAAAGCTACAAGGCTTTTTTTTTCAAGTTCCAAATTTATTATTTGTATTAAAGCAGCATTCTAGCATGGCAAGAGTATATTTTGGGGTAAAATACAGAATTAAGTCCTGCTGATAACCTTAAGGATCCCATGGCATGTCTTAGAGGGCTGTAAAAGTCTGTCTTTTACATTTAAAGTAGTAATAGTTTTGAAGTCACCTGTGCTTTTTTCCTAATGCTTGTCCTTAAATGACTATTTTAAGACAAAACCTGAGAGGAACATTCCAAGTCACAGTTAAGGACAGGCTATCTCTGAAGAACGCCAGAGCCATCTTTGGTAAGTTGAAGTGTCTTTATACACAAGGCCGCTGCAAGATTTTTGAGTCTCTACATCAGGGCTCTGCTCTGCTGGTTTGAACTGCTTTTGAACTTAAGCAGCGAGCTCAAACCTGTAGTCTCTCTTGGAGTATCTCAGCAGGCTGGTGCTGCTAAGCTGCACTAAGAGCTTCCAAGGCTCAAAAGCATGCAAGTGCTTTTTTAAGGGGAAAGGCTTTTGCTTAAAAAAAAATAAATTGTAAGGCTGTGAAAAAATCTGAGTAATCTACGGTGCGTACCCAAAAGAACATTGGCTAGATGGTCTCAAATGTCATTCTAACCGACCTAAGGGCACCTAAAGGGAGAAGGGAATTTTTGAAATCTCAGGTCACCTTGCTATTAAAAACCAGAAAGCTTAAGGGAAGTATTCCTAATTTAGATGACAAAAAAAAAATAATCGTGTTTTGATCAAATATTTTGAACCAAAGTATTTTTTCAGATCATCTTCTCACCCTCCAAGAAAAAAATCACTATTAGAGCGATATTAAGACTTGGTGTTTGATACCAAATGGGCTCCTGAGCATCTGAAAGGACGGTGGAGAGTGGTGTGCCATGGCCTGGCTAGCAAAAGGCAAGCTGTGTGTTTGGCTGCAGATGCAGAGACGAGGATTGGATAGAGTAGGAAGAAATAGCATTGCTCTAGTCTCTAGTGGGCTTACTGAACTGCAGAAAATGAGCAACAATTTGTCAGTAGATCAAAGCAATCTTCCCCAACATTTGCACTGTATTTTTAAGGGGGTTGTTTTTGCTGTTCGTCCTGTTCTGCTTTGGGTAGACTTGATACCAAACCTGGTTGCAAGCACAAATGCAGCTAAATAATATCTTCCTTGTAGCTACAATCCTTTCATTTTTCTTAACTTTTCCTTTCTGCAACTGCTTCTGCTTTTTTTTCCCTGTTGTTTGGTATATGGCTGCTCTCCAGAAAGTCATCTTATTGTGGCCTGGCATATAAAGACACATACAGGGTGGCAGCAAACTCACAGATCTCACTTTACTGTACCTCGTTTCAGAAGAAGAAACATGAGGTGAAGGTCCAAGGGCAGAGGTGTACCATGTCCTGATTAGCAGAAGAACTTGGTGTGTGCAACAGGCTAGAACATTCAAGCCCCGCGTGATATTTTCGAGTGCTTCCCTTACTTTGAAATAACAGGATTTATGAGTCACTGAAATTCCTGTGGTGTGGTACAAACAACTAATTTGAAGAATGACTCGAAGTTTTGGTTTCCAAGAGATCACGGATTAATCCCCAGACAGCGGCACTGGAGACTGGCTGCACACAGGAGAAAAACCCTGCACTGCCCCAGCAGAGGAAGCAACCTGGCATCTAACACATGGGATTTTCTCTGCCCTTTTCCTTCCAGGTGATACTGGCAGCAACAGGAGATCCCAAAATCTGAGCTAGGAGAGGAGAAGAGAAAAAGTGAGCCTCAAAAAGCATTACAATTTGGTCTTAAAAGTTAAGCACCGTAGTAGCCATGTGCTCTGTGATTTCGCTACATGCAGCTGTATGGGGTTTGCGTGGCAAGGTTTTGGTAGTGGGGAGGCTACTGGGGTGGCTTCTGGGGGAAGCCTCTGACAGCTTCTCACATGTCCCACAGAGCCAGTACCAGTTGGCTCCAAGACAGACCCACCGCTGGCCAAGGGTGAGCCCATGAGTGATGGTGGTAGCACCTCTGTGAGAGCATATTTAAGAGGGGGGGAAGGTGTGTGAAATGAGCAGCATCAGTTGCAGCCAGAGAGAATATGTGAGAGAAACAACTCTGCAGACACCAAGGCCAGTGGAGGAGGAGGAGGAGGTGCTCCAGGCACCAGAGCAGAGATTCCCCTGCAGCCCACGGTGAAGACCCTGGTGAGGCAGGCTGTCCCCCTGCAGCCCATGCAGGTCCATGGTGGAGCAGATATCCACCTGCAGCCCATCAAGGGCCTCATGCTGGAGCAGGTGGATGCCTGAAGGAGGCTGGAGCCGGCTCCTGGCAGGACCTGTTGACCTCTGCAGAGAGGAGCTCATGCTGGAGCAGGTTTGCTGGCAGGACTTGTGATCCCATGGGGGACCCTCACGGGAGCAGTCTGTTCCTGAAGGACTGCACCCCATAGAAAGGACCCACGCTGGAGCAGTTAATGAAGAACTGCAGCCTGTGGGAAGGATCCACGCTGGGAAAGTTCATGGAGAACTGTCTGGAGCAGGGAAGCAGGGGAAGAGTGTGAGGAGTCCTCCCCCCAAGGAGGAAGGAGCGGCAGAGACAACACACGATGAACTGACCATAACCCTCATTCCCTGTTTCCCTGCACAGCTTCAGGGGAGCAGGTAAAGAAAATCAGGAGTCAAGTTCAGCCTGGGAAGAAGGCGCTTTGAGATTTGGGGTTATTTCTCTCTAACCTTCTCCGATTGGATTGGTAATAAATTAAATTAATTTCCCCTGTGTCAAGTCTGTTTTGCCCATGAGGGTAAGAGCTGAGTAATCTCCCTGTCCTTATCCTGATCTGTGAGCCTTTTGTTATATTTCTTCTCCCCTGGCCAGCTGAGGAGGGGACTGATAAACAGCTTTGGTGGCCACCTTGCCTCTGGCCAGGGTCAACCCACCACAGCAGCGGAAAGCGTCGAGATACCTTCCACTGAATGAAGGAAGATGGATGCCAACTATCAACTGACTAGGTTTAAGCCCCAGAGAATAAAG